CAGGGCGCCAGCGGCTGCTCTCCTCACGCGGCAACGAAAGAAAGATGGTGGCCCGCGCATGCGCTAATCACCCCGCCGGCCGGAACCTCCCGACAGCCCGCGCGGCAGGAGCGCAGAGAGCCCCTCCCTGAAGTTCACCGGGAGGACACCGCCTCCTCCCCTAGCGGAGCGGCGCGCAGGCGCAAACAACCCGTCCGTGATGTCACTGAGAGGACACTGCCTCCTCCCCTAGCGGAGCGGCGCGCAGGCGCAAACAACCAGCCCCTCCATGATGTCATTGAAGACAGCACCCTTCCCGCGGCGGCGCGGCGCGCAGGCGCAGAACGGGAGCACTCCCCCGCCCCTCGGGGCCTGACGTCACGGCAGGCAGGCTCTAGTAGGCTGCAGGCGCCGAGTTGCTCGCCGGGCGCGGTGGCGCGCGCCTGTAATCCCGCGACTGGGAGGCGGAGGCCGGCGGATCGCTTGAGCTCAGGAGTTCTGGGCTGCAGTGCGCTATGCCGATCGGGTGTCCGCACTAAGTTCGGCATCAATATGGCGATCCCGGGGGAGCCGGGGGTCACCAGGTTGCCTAAGGAGGGGTGAACCGGCCCAGGTCGGAGACGGAGCAGGTCAAAACTCCCGTGCCGATCAGTAGTGGGACCGCACCTGTGAATAGCCCCTGCCGCCTAGCCTGGGCAACACAGTGGGACACGGTCTCTTTTGCCGCATGATCCGGGGACAACAGGGCAGACCCTACAGTGAGAGACTGCGGGACTTGAACCTATTCAGCCTCCACAAGAGAAGGCTGAGGGGGGCGGCCGCCAGCAGGAGTCGCTGCTGCCGCCGCTCCGAGCTCATTGATACCAATACACAGTCATTCTCCTTAATTCATGTATTCTCCTTAATGAACGACTCGGGCTAAAGACACTGCCGGGTTGGTGACTGTAGCCGCGTTGATCTGAGGGCAGAAGGGGTCTTTTATCAGACCAACTCTCGGAGCTGCTCCAGGTCAAGCCCTCGCCCCCCATGGGGGTATAGAGACCCCCAGGGGGTTTCACCTGCTTTTTGCTTTTACCTCCAGCCGCCACCCAGAAATTGGAAAAGTAAAAAAACCTGGAAAACCGGGGGTTGTGGTTTAAAGATCCAGCAACTGCTAAATTAAACCAAGTTTATTGCAAGGGAACGGGTTGTTCCCTACGAGAGCCTGAGCTGTGACCCTTTATCCGCAGCCCAGAGCTGGTTGCTGGGTGCCCATCGGGGGCGAGCCGACCCCTGCGAGCCCCACATCGGCCGGGTCCTGCCCTGTATCTGTGGGAGGCTCTGAGAGTTTTCCCCAGAGGGTTTTGCTCTAGTACTCCAGTGCAGTATGGGGTCGGCCCACTTCACAAGCACTTTTAATCAGAAGAGTTCGTCAAACACCTGCAGCGAGTGATTCCTCTCTGGGATCCTTTCCTTTTGCCCACGCCTGTGTCTTTCCTCAAAATCGTGGCTGCCCCGACTTGACTTAAAGAGCCTGGTCTCCCCTCCCCTACCTACCCTGGAGCGGACTTTGGTGCCACAATGTTTTGACGGCATTTCCTCCTCCGCCAGGGGTAAGACTAACGCCTGCTCTGAAGTGCTCTTCTCACAAGGCCATTGGCACCCTGAGAGGTTGCCGGGTTATTTAACCTCCAGCAGGAAGGTGGCAGGTCCTGAATGCCAGCGAGGAGAACGACATCTGCAACATCTGGGGGTTTGGGTAGGGACTAAGGCGATGGCGGAGGTTCCTGGGGACCCGGTGCGGGGTCCGAAGTGCGAGTGAGCTGGGGCCGGAGATAGAGGAGCGAGATGTGAGATGGAGCCGGGGCCAAGCAGCCTTGTGGTTCGCAGCCCAGGAGGGGTGTAGGACGTTGAGGGGAAGCCCGGGGAGGGACGAGTGAGATCAGGCTGGCCCAAAGACTGCAACCTACTTGAGTCGGACAGCGAGACCTAGTGAGGGAGGGGCCGGAGGCCCAAGCCCTAGAGTACAGCCCAGGGAGGGGTCAGAGCGCAGCGTAGGGCCGACCGGGTCCAAGGAAGGCCTGGAGAGCGGCTGGGAGAGGGAGGAGACAACAGGGTCTAAGATAGAGACCAAAACGAGAGGGGACAGCCGAGAGACGGAGGGGCCGACAGCCCAGCGGGTGGTTGTGCGAGAGAGCCAGGGGGTCTGAGGGGCCGGAGGAGAGACGGAGGGATCTGGCAATGTGAGTGGGGCCAAGAGAGAAACCAAGGGGTCTGAAGGTCCCGAGTGGTGCTGAGAGAGGCGGAGGGGCTGGAGGGCCCAGTGAGGAGCTGTATCAGCAGAAGGTATGCCGTCTGGAAGGACACCGTCTGCGTGGCGCTGTGTGATTGGCCTGAAGGTCAGGACCAAGGCCAGCTGTATGCATGTCAGGGTGGCCGAGTGGTCTAAGGCGCCAGACTCAAGGCTGTGTCTTCCCTCTCCTGGGTGTTCTGGTCTCTGTATGGAGGCGTGGGTTCAAATCCCACTCCTGACATGCCTTTTTCATCCAGGAACATCTCTAAGCTAAAAAGGAGGTGTACCCCCTATGCCAGGGAGGGGCCATCACCATGGAGCACTACCCCTCTATTGCTCGAGATTGTAGGGAGGCTGTTAGGAAGGCTAAACCGGAGACGGAACTAGGACTAGCGACCCGGATCAAGGATAACAAGAAATCTTTTTTTTAAATACGTAGAGAGTAAAAAGAAGGCACCGGGTAACGTGGAGCCTCTGCAGGACACGCTTGGCAATCTGGTGGTCACAGCAGACGACAAAGCTAACCTCTTTAACAAATTCTTTGCCTCCATTTTTCTGAGCAGGAACTGGGACATCCTCCCCCCTCACCGGGATCCCCGACGGATTCAGGTGAGGCACCGCCAGGCCCAGGGTGAGTGAGGACCTAGTCAGGGAACTGGAGGGGCTGGACGTGTTCAAATCAGCAGGTCCAGATGATCTCCACCCCCGAGTGCTGAGGGAATTGGCAGATGTCATTGCGGGACCCCTGGCACGGCTTTACAAGCACTCGTGGTGCTCTGATGAGGTGCCGGAGGACTGGAAAAGGGCCAATGTGGTCCCCATTTTCAAAAATGGGAGGAGGGAGGACCCAGAAAACCACAGGCCCGTTAGTCTTACCTCGATCCTGGGGAAGGTCTTCAAGAAGGTTATCCAGGAGCACATCCTTGAGGGGCCGGCAGGGGAGATTATGCTTAGGGGCAACCAACATGGGTTCATTAGGGGCAGGTCCTGTCAGACCAACCTGGTGGCCTTCTATGGCCAGGTCACAAAATCCTTGGACGCAGGTGTGGCAGTAGACATAGTCTTTCTGGACTTCAGGAAAGCCTTTGACACTGTCTCTCACCCCATTCTCATTAAAAAATTAGGCACCTGTGGTATCGTTGCCTACACAGTCAGATGGGTTGCCAATTGGCTGGAGGGCCGCACCCAGGCAGTGGTGGTGGACAGGTTGTTTTCGACCTGGAGGGATGTGGGCAGTGGGGTCCCCCAGGGCTCGGTCCTTGGGCCCGCACTGTTCAACATCTTCATCAGTGATCTGGACATGGGTGTGGAAATTCATGGCTGTTCAAATTCACTGATGACACCAAGATGTGGGGCGATGTGGGCACGCTGGAGGGGAGGGACAGAATCCAGCTAGATCATAGTTTCATAGTAGCTAGGGTCAGGAGGAGGGACCTGAACCTGTTCTCCACAAGAGAAGGCTGAGAGGGGACCTGGTGGCCACCAATAAACTGGCCAAGAAAAACCAGCAGGCAATGGGAGAGTCCCTCTTCCCCCGAGCACTACTGGGAGTAACAAGGAATAACAGCCATAAGCTGACAGAGAGTAGATTCAGGCTAGACATCAGGAGGCGCGACTTCACAGTCAGGGCGGGTAGAAGCTGGAACCCAGCTCCAAAGGAAGGGGTGCTCACCCCTACCCTGGGGTCTTCAAAAGGAGGCTGGACAATCACCTTCCCGGGGTTGTTTGACCCTAGCGTTCTTTCCTGCCCAGGCAGGAGGTCGGACTTGATCTGCTCAGGTCCCTTCCGACCCTACCAACTATGAAACTATGAATGGTCATGATAGTAAGATCAAGGTACCCTCCCGCAATATTTATTTATATATGAACATCAAGGCACGGTGGGAAAAAGCAGGGAGAACTGGCCTCAGAACAGGGTATTACACATTTTTTGGGGGTGCCCTGTTACACTTTGGTATGTATTTCAGTACCCATGTCTATCCTTGCAGATGTCCTCATTATTTCTAAAATGTTCATACAGCAACAACATGGCTTTATACACTTTCCTTCCTAAGAGCTTCGGAGAACTCTTCTTCAGTTGCTGGTGTATCTTCACATCCGACCTTTTTATATTCTAAAAGTCCATCGTAGTACTGCCAGCTCTCACTATCACCAAGTTCATAGAAACACATCAAATGTTTGCCAGTATTGTACTTTACCCCAGCTACTTTGTACCTGCAACGACAAAATCTTTGTTTTAGTGAACTCTGATATATTTGCGTGTCTCATGTTTTCTGTTGAATTATCAGGACTGGTAACATGGTTTAACTAGCAACATACCGTCTCCTTAAATACAGAAGACCTAAATAGAAGTTACAAGAAAGGGATTTTGTGGGCAAGGAAACAGGCTACTACCCTCTCTGGAAAGCCAGCAAATGGCATTTGAGAAAGCATAGTTTGATGATTTGATACACAGGTAAGCATATAGGTTTACTTCAATTTACTTAATGTCATCACGGCTCCAGCATAATCTTATACTACAAACTTACTTAATGCCACATATAGAAATCAGGGGTGGAAAGAGATCACATTTTTCAGTTCTTCTGTGAGCCAGATCTGCTGCAAGTGTTATGAGTAAGATGCATGGTTTTTCATTAATGAATTGACGTTTACTCAATTTCCGTGTTCCTCTGCACTTGTTACCTTTGACACTGAAATGTTAAAATAGGGAAAATATTTGTCATTTGCTTGAAAACGTGATGATAGTAATTTATGCAAAATTTACCTGTGATCCATTGTGACATCTCTATTTGAGCAGTTCTACTAGTGCAGGGGTAGGCAACGTTTTTTGGCTGGAGTGCCAGAAAAACCACACTGTCTACCTTGGAAGGTGCCAGAGTGCCAGAAAAACAAAATGAGGGTAGGGGGGGCAGGGTACACGGCAGGATGCACTGCATATTAGTATATTTAATAATCATAAATGTTGCCTTTGCTGCTGTGTATTCCTTTTTTGTTGAGCATGTTGCAATGAGGAGAAAAGAAGAGAGACGAGAAAGGAGAGAAAGAAAAAGGAGAGCAGAGAGAGAACCAGACACGCACACAGAGAACCACGTGCACAAACACAGAGAACCAGAACACACCCAGAAAAGACACATGCGCACGCATATCTGGAACCAGACACGTGTGTGCACATGCAGACACACAGAACCAGACAGAGGCAGACAAACACACAGAACCAGATGCATGGGCACACGGAGCAGGGCTCCTGGGCTACTGGACAAGGTCCAACCCAACAACAACCTGGTCCCGCCAGAGCCCCTGTGCTTCCCCGGGGAGCCAGGCTGCAGTGTAGCTGGCCGAGGCCCCAGCCTGGAGCCTGCTCATCAGACCAACCCACCCCGCGCAGCTAAGCCCACAAAAGGTGCGGTGCTCCTGGGAAGGGGCAGCACCAGCCTCATCCCAGTGAGGGGGTTGGGCCAGGGCTGGGCTCAGAGCGGGTGGGAGTCAGGCGGGTTCAGCTGCAAGCCCTGCTACAAGCAGCCTGGGCTCCGCGGTTGGCAGCAGCTACCAGAGCCTGGGCCGGCTGCAGCCGGGAGGCTGCAAACAGCTGCTCCGGGCTCCAGCATTGGCTCCATACCAGCAGGTGCACATGTGCCTCGGAGCGGACGGTGGAGATAGGGCCTGAGGCAACACAGCTCTCCCACTGTCCGCTCTGAGATGCACGTGCAGTCACCGCCAGCATGGAGCTCATGCTGGGGCTGTGGAGCCCGAAGCAGCTGTTTGCAGCCTGCCCGCTGCCTGCTGCAGCTGCCCAGAGCTCAGGGTGGCTACAAGCAGTCAGACTCTCTAACAGCGTCTCCCCATGGCTGCCTGCCTGCTGTGTCCCCCAGCTGCACAGGAAAAGGCAGGGGAATGGCACGGCCTGGCTGCTCTCTCCCACCCCTGCTCAACCTACTGCAGGTTGAATGTAATTATTTTTTTTAACTGAAGGTGGAAAAAAGACCGTTGAGGGACTTAAACCCTCTGAACGGAAGTCAGAAGACATCTTAGCCATTAGGCCACACAGCCTTCCAGGAGCTACCTTGTGCGACTTGTAAGTGTTGATACTGGAGAGGGGAGGGGAGGGGGGCTCCCCTCCCCTCTCCAGTATCAACACTTACAAGTCACACTGGAACCCAACTCGGCATGGGGTAGGGGTATCTTCCATCTTTCAGCCATGCAACAAGGAGATTCTGAAGTTTGCTGACATCATCTAAGCTGTATTTAAAATATAAAACATGCAGATTAAGATTACCCTGCTTCACACAATGAAACAGTTGGATGGACAGGCATCACAGATTGCAGAACGATGTACAGTTGGGAAGGCCAGCTAGCTCTGGTGATAACTACAGCCAGCCCAGAGTTTTCAGACTACAGAAAGTGTAGCACATCTGAAATCCCAGCATGGACAGAAGCACTGGTTACCACTGCTGTGTTGTAGCCGTACAGTGCTTACTAGAAGGTGAGCCACTGAGTAGCACGTGGAAGGACTGTATATGCTCATGGTCCTTCCTCCACAGAAAGAAAACAGCATGCCCTACTGTCAGTGTGGATGCAAATGGGACATGCCCACTGGCACTCTTCCTCAGATATATGACAGACCAAGCAGGACATGCCTAGGGCCGCTCATACATAACAGGAGTTTAGTTCCTCCTGAATTGAAACAGTGGGTTTTTAATTGCAGCATGCGCAGAGCTGCTTGGAGCTAGCAGCCTGCCCGGGCAGCCTCATGGGGGCAACACTGCTGCGGAGGGGAAGACCAAGGCACCCCACAGCTCAGATGCTGCTGGCAGTTCACCCACTGGCCACGGGCAAGCTCTGCCAGAAAACAAAAAAGGATCGGGCTCCTTGCCAGTTTTTGTGGGGGGGTTTGGCTAGGGCTTCCAGCTCACCGTGTAGTCCCATCCACACACCTGGGGCCATCCCACTGCCTGGGACCGCCTGAGAACAGGTTAGCTTGCTCTTGGGGCAGCACGGGAGGGTGTCTGGGTGTGCTGGCAGCCGGACAAGGCAGTAGGGACAGTGCCCGGGGTGCTGGAAGCCCAAGCCCGAGCCTCCATGAGTCCACCCAGGCTTCCAGTGCCCTGTGCACCATCCCCACCACCTTCTCCAGCTGCCAGACCACCCAACCACCCTCCTGCCACCTCCCTGCGCTGCCCCAGAAGCAAGCTGGGTGTTCTGGAGTCTGGTGAAGGCGGGGATGGTACACAATGTGCTGGAAGCCTGGGAGGGCTGAGGATGGAGGTATCGCTGCCATTTGTTAGGCAGCAAACTTAAAAACATCGGTATGTCTTTTACTTTGCTATGTAACAAAGTCATTTACATCGTAATACGCCACCGCACAGGTTCAGTGCGATGAAATTAAATCGCAATACTCTGCCACGTGTAACACGTGACAAAATGAAGCCATTATAGAAGGGCAATTGAACCGCTAAAAAGGGTCATTTCATCATGTGTAGTAGCATGCTACATGTGCATTTAAGCACACCTAATTTTAATGTGCATTAGTTTAATGCTCAGTAAGTCGGTTTAGGCAGGTGTCTACACATGCAGGCGTTACAGTGCATTAACACTGTGTGTGTGGACTGACTTAGGACTCAATTTAGTCCCAAGTCAGTCCCCACACACAGCATTAATGCACTTTAATGCGTCTACACGTGCATTAATACACTTTAATCACACCTGCAAATTGCAGGTATCAAATTTAGGTGCAATTAGCTTAAATTTGCCACTTTTTATGCGCATTAAGGGTGTGCATGTGTAGATGTGCATTAACACGTCTAGTGTAGACGTGCCCACGGTGTAGACACAACCTAAGCCTCCCAGATATCCCTAAGTTTTGTGTACTGACAGAATAACACATTCATAACACAGGTTTAATGATCCCAATTGCTATAGGGACACCTATATATATTAACTGAAGGGCATGTATTAATAATTATGTTCTCCTTTAGATCTTAACTCTTCCATTTTCCCCTATATGAGATCTACAACCAACCCTTGAAACATTATCCTTAAGTTCAATAGGAAAATGTGTACCTACCATGCAAAAACTGATGCTGATTTCAATGTCCTGTTCTTCTGTGGACATTCTGAATTGGAGCAAACGGAGAACTGCGCTGTGCTATAGAGATCGGAGAGTGGAAGTGTCACCATAATTTCCTCAATTCCATAGCAATCCCATGCGCTCCTTCCTGTACATTTCTGAAACAGTCAACCACTGCCATCTCCCTTCCTTCCAGTTGTTGCTGCTAAATGCCTCATTTACTCAGAGAAGACGTTGGAATACTTCACTTCTTTGGAGAAGTTCAAACTCAGTTTTTATTGCCTGGTATTTTTTAAATATCAAATAAATGATATATCAAAGGTTGTCAATGGTGCAAGTGTTGGTGAATTGCACCTTTCTGTTCGATTTGGATGCCAGCACTCCAAGGAAGACAAGGCAACTGTTGTTTGTGTTCCTGTTCTGGAGGAGCCTGAGAATACTTAGCTTGCTGCTTCAGTGTGGAACGGGGACCATCATTCCATGTTTCCAAGAGAGCAAGAGGCTCTGAAATGCTTTGATTAGCAACACAGTAGGTTATTTTCCTCTTAGATTTATCGTTTATGCTTCGGTCGGGTAAAATGCCTATTGCTATTGAAGAGCACACACCAACTGCTGAAGCTTCCTTAGCCTGACGAAGGGTTTTTGAACCCGAAAGCTTGCTTAATAACTATTCTCCAACCATTTGGGTTGGTCGAATAACAGATATCAAATTCACCCAAGGAACCTTGTCTGCCTATTGCTATTGAACTCATCTTACCTTGAACGGTGTCTTTCATAACTTCTACAAAGTTAGGAGTTCTGCAATAGAGCTTGTCCTTCAAAACCAGATTTTTGACAGTTCTGAACCAATTTGCAACATTTGCATTGCTGTCCCCAGTTTGTGGCAATTTTATTGCTTGTAACATAATGCCACTCCATAATGTTATGTTGGCACATATTTGACTAAGGCTTTTGCAATTCAGTAGAATAATAGCTGTTCAGAGGATAAGTCTTATTCTCCTGATCATTTTTATCCAAACTGCGCGATGAACAATTGAGCAAAAGGAGAATTTTTACAGATTGATCAGAAACAGGAATCAATCACAGTTTTCTGGTCAAAGGATAGAATAGTTTTAGAGATCGGCTGGGTTTGTATCCATTTCTTTAGCTCTTTTCATCTTACCTCTTTCCCTGCATTGTGCGTCGAGATGTGATGCGCTGAAAATTATGCAGAGCTTCTGAATTACTTTCCTACACTCATATATCGTTTTTGCATTTTGCAGTAAGACAAATGAGCACAGAAAAACTCCTTGACATCTTTAGAAACAGCAACTTTGGATACATGCCCATGGATTATTTCGACTATATGTCAGGCGCACATGTGCAAAATTGTAAAATCAGCTTTCCTTTTCCCAGTACATACTTCAAAATAGGCATTCAAGTAATGTATGGCAGTCACCCAGTTTAAAACCTGAATAGCTGCATGTATTAAAGCCCAGCTGAAGTTGCACTCTAAGCCGATGACCAGTTACTCTAAGAGTATCTTGAGAAAGCAAAGTCAGTCAAAGTGATATGGTTGGTGTAGTTTGGTCAGCAATTAGCATCTCTGCCACTGGTAGGATGTTTGTTGAGTTGGACAGGCACTTTGCACACGATGCATAATACAAGATGCGATGTTTTAAGAGAACCCCACATTGATGGGGTTCTCTTAACAACAGACCCGAGGCATCAAGGTATAGGCTACAGCTTTGCTCTCTGAAAATCAAAAAGCAGGTGAAGCTGGACATGCACGTACACGTGCAGCATGAAAGGTGACACTGTGAAGTACTGCAAGGAGGTGTGCGCAGTTCCTACATCATGTTTGCAGTGGCATCTAGTTTTCCTTGGATGTTGGGGCAATCCAGATGTAACCTTAGGGTCAGTTCTTCCCTCATGGTTACCCTCACCAGCTGTTTTTTGCAAAACAATGCCGGTTTTTACTTCACGCAAGTTACCAGCCAACAGCACGGCGGGGTCAGACGGACATAGCAACTTATTTCTCAGCTGGCTTGGTGCGTCTGCCTTCAGTTCTCCCCTTAATTCTTCTCTTTCTTGCTGGCACGTATGCCTTTGTCCAATTCACCAGCTTTGTGTTGTGTTTCTCCTTTCACTTGAATTTCCATTTTCACACATGGATCATGCCTTCCTGGTCTATCTTTGCTCTCATAAGTAATGAAATACACCCTTCAAATTTGCACTTGGCTTTCCCATACCAAAAAGGAGCTTTGATCTCTCTCAATTTCTGCGCCTTGAGACCATTCTATAGAAAAACAAAAACACAGAACTGAATGTATTTTAACTTTTTGGTCAAACTCCATAGTGTGGATTTGGATGAGGGATACATTTGTTTCCACTCATCCGTACGAAAGCAGTGCTGAAAGGTGACGGGCAGGCGGCGCTACCGCTACTTTCCAGGCTGAAGGGACGGTTCCTGCAGCGCTGTTGTGGCCACGACCCCCCGCATCGCTGCTCTCCTCAGTCAGTGCTGACCGGTGATGCTTGTCGATCCCCGGTAACGTCTGCTCCCACAGGTGCGTGTGGCCGAGCAGCCGTAGACCCGCACCCCGAATCTGTCCGTTTACATTGCAGGAA